CCACTGACCCAACTTAACGAACACTTTACCTGGAACTTTCCTTGTGCAAAGGCTCTGAGTGCAAGTCCTCACCTCTGTTATGAAAGTGCTCTACTTGGCGTGGCTGCCTGACGTGAGCTTCTGTTCCCATTGCCAAGTGCCCTGAAAATGCTGATTTATACTTGCTTCTGGATGAGAGACCGATGAAGTTTGTTTGAGACTCTAAGGTTGATCCAATTTTGGGCTCCACTGCCCATGGAAAGGTGATTTCTGGTATTTTCACTTAATCTGGAAGGTGTCCTCTTTTCAAATTTAGACACTGATTAATTACAGGAAGGAAAAGCTTTTGATGAGGCTTCATGAGCTTATGCACCTTATGTGGAATGTCTTTCGTTTCCTGTGGCAGGAATACATTCTGTACTAAGATAGTGGCTCTTAAGACTTCGCTGGCCTTGGCAAACATCCTCATGTGGCTGCTGGAAAGTAGTCGCCAGGAGTCGCTAATTATTAGCATGTTGCCTGACACACACAATAAACATTCAAGTATTGCTGAATAGATAAATAAATGATAGAGCAAATGCTTTCCAGCAACTGGTGTTGAAGCTGGTTAAAAACTCATTGAACCTCACTTAATTTACAGGAATATACTTTTAGAATATTGTGTGGTTTACATGTTTTCACGTACATTCTCAAAAAATTATTTTCTGTACTTTAAAGTTGAGGAAATGAGGCTGCAAGAGGTTCACTAACTTCAAAGTCACACTGTGACATTCAATTTTCTAGAACCACAGGTTGTCATTATCAAAACAAAAGCCAATATTCAAAAACTGTTGAAAAATATTTTGAAGTTACGTAAGCTAAAGCTTTAAATACTAAAATAAACACGGCAGAAAAAATGGCATCACAAAACCTGGAAACTGTATCATTTGTACGACACTTTATTATAGTTTCCAAAGCATTTTCTCACACTTGACCCCCACAACCTTACCCAACTGGAGTAAAATCATCTTGCTTCACGTTGCCGACTAAGGGCCACAATAGTGGAATACCCCGGACATTGTTCTCATCCAAAAAAGACAGGTCGGACTGGCAGTTAAGGACGCCCTTTCTTGCATACTCATGCCATCTACTGGTACTTTTTTGGTAGCATGGGTTCTAGCTAATTTTATATTTAGAAACGTTTTCTTCAGTGTAAACCTCAGGGCCACTCAAATGTTTTACTCCTTATTAAAGTCCTTGAAAATATCACCGTCGTCCCAACCTTTGGAACTTGTTTTCTAAGGAGCTTACGCTAATTTTAATTTATTTATCCTTCGGAGAGAGGGCAAGGGAGCAAGGAAGAGAGGGAGATTGATTAAAACATCAATCTGTGGCCTCTTGCTTGCGCCCAGCCAGGGACCTGGCCCACAACACAGGCATGTGCCCTGACCCAGAATCAGGAATCAAACTGGCAACCTGTGGATTTGCGGAATGATGCCCAACACACTGAGCCACACTAGTCACTAAGGAAAGTGATGAAAATGTTTATTCCTTTCTGGCATATCAACAGGTTTTAGAAAGGCCTCTGGGCACCTTCCAATTGGCTTAGAACCGAGGAAAGGGAGATGGCTTAACTAGGGACAGAAAACACTCATGGCATCACCGCGTGTTCAGAACAATGCCTCCACTTTGCACAGTAATTCCTGGGAGGGCTACAGGTGGGGTGGGGTAGCTGAGAAGGCAGTGAGGCACTACTCCATGGTGCTTCAGCAACTGGTGGAAGAGGAAATTCTGGAGGACAGATGAAGGCAATCTCCCGATTCTGGAGCACACAGGAAGGGTTTCTTAAACTGTACCCCATCCCTGAAAACCTCTGGTCAATCCTCAGGAACACAAACACCTCCTTTGTCAAGCCTGGGTTTGTCTCTGGATACTTCATTCCCTCTGAATAAAGTGAATTTTGTCTTGGTACTTTGCTTTAAAATCCAGGGACAAGAAATGACTTAAAGGTTTGCTTAAAGGTTCAGCAGCACATATCAAGACCAGGAAGAATTTAAAGAACTTTCAAAGCATTTTGATCATTCTTTACTGTAGAGCAAGATTAGATTATTGTGAAAGATTGTTCAGGGTTACTAACTAAAGAATAGCTACCCGTACATTTGCATTATAATTAACAGGTTCTTAGGCCAAATATTTCACTATATTCTAAGAATCAATTCAGGGTTTGATTATATAACTCATACTTGAGAAAACTAAGTTTCAGAGGTTAAGTCACACTCTTCCCAAAGTCACACAGCCAATAAATCACAATCAGCATTGAAGATAGGTCATTAAAGTCTATTGATCTTTCTAGAAACTTTCCCAGAGATTTTTTTTTCTCTCCTTGAAAGTTAACCTGTTGTACTTACCCATTTTTAAGTCAGTTTTTAACAGGTGGAATTGTTTTAATCTGCATTTTCTTACTCAAACTTCCAAGCCTGAGGGCCTGTTGTGACAAATACCTACTTTTACCAGGTGGTAACACCCCGCAACCACACACACACACGGGGTTTGAGTAACCCTATCAATAATGGTTTTCATGTATCAGCAGATAGGTTTATCTTTGCAGTTTGGTAATATAAATAAGAATAAAAATAAATTGCGCCCTGGCTGGTGCAGCTCAGTGGATTGAGCACTGGCCTTCGAACCGTAAGGTCACTGGTTCAATTTCCAGGCGAGGAATTGTGGGAAGGTCCAATATTTCTCTTTCCGTCTCTCTCCCTCCCTTCCCCTCTCTCTAAAAGTAAGTACAATCTCTAAAAATTAAAATAAATTAAATTTGGATTTCTAGGTTCTGCCTCAAAGACCAATTCAGTATTAGGGGAAGGAACAGGGATATAATTCACTGTTTAACAAACCTCCCCAACAGTCAAATTGCTGATGATTTTTAAGCCATGTAGTGATGCTCAGGATCACAATACCCTTCGTGGTGCTTTTGGAATATGTTTTACACCTGAATATACATTGCAGTTTGGGAAATCCCAGTATTTTAAAATAAAGAAGCCATACATCCCATGCCCTGGTAGCATGGATACCCCACTCTCAGTTCTGCTTTAGTTCTGTAACACATTTTCATGTTAGTGCAAAACGCTGGCCAAGCAGGATTTTTTCATTTTAATCTCGTTCTACTCCCAATTCAGACTTTCCCCAGGAGTCTGGGTTTTACACGGCTCATGGTGGGAAGCTGGCCAGACATGCAATTGGTGGTTACCTGTTTAAACTGTGAGATATTTTTATAATTGGTGTGGAAATGAATCATCATAAATATCTCTGAATAATTTTTTATAACCAGTGGTTTCCCAATCCTGCCCAATCAAAAATTATTCTTGAATTGATTTAGGCCTGGGCTGGGGCCCAGTCTCTGCATTTAAACATCCCATATGACTTTTATGAATAAATTTAGAAAACAGACATGGTTATTGCTATTTTTCTCCTCCAATCTCAAAATAGCTACTCGCAATTGTAACTTAAATCGCTGTATAATTACTAAGAAATTCTTAATGCAAGATATTTAGATAAAAACATTTATGTTAAGGTCAAAACAATGTACAGTCACTGTCACCTACAACTAAAGGATCCTGAAGTTTTCAGTCACAGGAAAAAGCTTAAACTATACACCCTTCCAAAACCCACTTATTCTGCAATACATTCACCTGTATTTGGTTAATTTTCCTTTCCCAAAGCAAAATCATTGTCGTTAGTGATTTCCCATCTCAATCAAATATGTCTTTTCTGTAAAGAATCCAATCTGACCGGATCTTCCATATTGCCTGCTGTGATACCTGCCTCGGTCACCTGCAAGTTAAGCTAGTGATATTTTATTTGTAGTCGTTGGCACCTGAAGCAAAATCTCAGAGAAGTTAGTATCGGTAAATTCAACGATCTCTCCAGGTGTAAGTTAGTTAGTTAACTAAGCCAGAATGTCACCTGGCATCACTGCAGCGAGCAACAGCCACTCAAAGGTATGTGGTTATAGATAAAACTAAGACAAGAGTATTACTAGATAAGGAACACTGGAAAATAAGCAGTACTGCACCAAGGCAAGACAAAATATACTTTATTGTGACAGCAAACGCACACAGTGCTAGAGGTAAGGCATGCTGCTAGGAATCTGAATGTCCTCCAAGGCCAGTATGGAAACGAATGGGAAAGAATGTTGTTTCTTAATGCTTGAAGATTTAGTCCATGGTGAAGAAAAGACAGAATTTGTGTCCACTTATTTCAAATGCAATACTACACACCTACTATTCAGATCCCTATGCCTCTAACCAAGAGCCCACAGACAAATAAGAGAAACTTAATCTTAATTGTACTAAGTTTTTTCTAGGATCAATGACAGATTTTGCTAATTGAGGCAAATTTCCTCTCTAGACAAACACTTAGAAATCGAGCACCCCAACACCCACCAAATTAGCCAATTTTCATGCCGTTTATTCCATCAGAAACAAATAACAGACTATCTAGAAATAGTTTGCACAAAGAAACATTTACATTTTAATACTTCATAATGTAAATTTTGGGCCCAAGTAACACCCTGAGTCAAATTTGATCCCTTTCCACTTGAAGGAACCAAGTACAGTTTTAATTTCAATAGCTGAATTCCTTAGGGAAGAGCTGAGAAAATAATGCTAATCAGAGCTAGTCCTTTGATGAAACTATCAGACTTCACCGACTCGTCAAAATCAAAGCAAAACTGAGGATGGGCTGAAATGCTTTGTAAAGCAGTATTTTTAGACAGCCTGCTTCATTTCCCCTCCCCCTCCTTTTAGAACGGATACAGATGACACGCTTTCTGCATGAATGCACACTGACATTCTGTTCGACTGTTTTCTAAATACAATACTAGAGATTTAAGCAGTATGCTTTAATTTAAACAAAGTAGCATCTTAAACACACAGTCAATTCAGCTTAACGAGATGAAAAGAAACAGTATTATGAAAATTACTTATCAAATACGCTGCTTTTAAAAGGTGTTTTTTTAAAGTAACACAGGACCAAAAACATTCAACTATTACTTTATTTATATTACTATGCTTAAGTTACATGGAAAGGACAACCAAGCAGTTCTGCCCCATTTCAGGAAAGTTTCCCATCAACACCAATTACATGGTGACAAATAACCAGGAGTGGTGACGTCTCTGGGTCAAGACTGACAAGGAAGAATGGGCTCTGGTGCTACGGTTCATCTCCAACAAGAAAATGGCACAACGGCCAGCACAAGCCACACTAACACTGAACCTTTAGCACTGGTCACAAATTCGGATCTCTTCTCTGAAACTAGCAAATCAAGTGAAATAACTGGGTTAAAAAAATTTTTCTTTAAAATGAAGCCCAAATAAGTTTAAAAACCATGCTCTTGACACATTTTTCTTTCAAAATTTACATAAAACACTTTGCCACTCTAACTGCCCAGATTTTTTTCCTCACGTAGTCCACCCACCATGTAGCTGCAGATAAGACTATTCTGCCTTGAGATGTAAAAGTACGGGGAAAAATTAACAGCATCTGCATAACATTCTCTCTACACACTGTTGTTGGATGGAAAACAGAAAAAAAGAAAGAAAGAAAGAAAGGTTCCATCTTAGATTCTCATAACCTCTTGTTCCGCAGTTCGTGAATCCGACTCTGATGCTAAGGTGACAGTGTATGTAAGTAGATTTTTGTTTTCAGTGAAGGAGACCTGGGAAAAGGTGAAGTTATCTCGTTTTCTTCAAGAGTTATCGGATGGTACATGCTCCTCGAAACCCTCACTCTCCCGAACTAGAGCGCGTTCCAGGATCACACGGCCTTCCTTATAACGCTGGCTGTCTTCAGTGGCAAACTCATAGATCCATCCCAGTTTGCTATTGCAGTTTTTACAGCTCACATCTCGAACCATGTGGCGGCCAGTGAGCATAACCCGATCTTGAACTTCACTGTACTGCAGGTTAACTACCTAAGGAACATGTGGAAACAAAATTGCAAAGGAGAGTAAATTATTTGGCAGAAGGTACAAAATATTTAACTGGTGCAGTACCAGCAAATTCAGAAAAGCAAATAGCAGTTACTTCAGTCCACCCCACAGCCACCTTTCCGAGAGCTATTTTTAGAAGCCGCTGGGACAGGTAAACATCTGGAATTGCACTGAACAGGTAATGTGATCACACGTTAGTGTACTGGTCCAAGCCATACTATACATGCTAGTGATATTTCTGAGTTGTAGTGAATGTAGGGCTGGATCCAACTGTTATTGCACCTTGTGTGCAAACAAGGCTACCAAGGTAAAAGATGTAGTATACAACAGGTATTCCATTAAAAAGTTTGTTTCTGAAAACACATTTTATATGCAAACAGACCAAAGAAGCTTGCTATAGACTATGCATTGCAATACATCATTTTCGAGCGGCTTCAAGAAAATCTGTGAAGAATTTTCAATGATTCTGAATACCCAACAATCCTCTGTACTTTACTTTTCTGTAAAGGACAAGATAGCAAATATTTTGGGCTTTGAGGTCTATATGGTCTTCCTTGTAACTATTTAGGCAGCTGTTGTAGCACGAAACCAGCCACAGATAATATATAAATTAATGAGCATGGCTGTGTGCCATTGAACTTTATTTTAAAGAAAGCAGGAAGCTGGCCTGTCAGAGTACCAACTCCTGTCCAAAACCTAAATAAAGATCAAGGGTTATACACTATCAATTCTTTGAGAGGAAAACTTGTTTCTAAATTGTACAGAGGGCTGTCCACTGGGGAAGTTTAGCTGACCTTCTTTTCTAAGAGCAGTACCTTTGCATTAGTTCTATTCCTTAGCCTAAAGCACTTTAATTGGGTTGGCCAAAAAGTTCATTTAGTTTTTTTCCATAAGATGGCTATAGTAGTGCCTAGTTGTCTTTGACTTCATTTGAAACAATTTTCTTAAGACTGTATTGTGACAGCTGTCATATCAGTGAGCATTAAAAAAAAAACATCTAAAATGCTGAATTTTTGTGTAGCCATTTTAATATTGAAGATGAAAGAAAATACACAACATTTTCGGCATATTATGCTTCATTTTCTTAAGGAAGGTAAAAGCACAACTGAAACAAAAAAAGACTTGTGTAGTATATAGAGAAGGTGCTGTGACTGATCGAATGTATCAAAAGTGGTTTGTGAAGTTTTGTGCTGGACATTTCTTACTGGACGATGCTCCACAGTAGGGTAGAACAGTTGAAGTTGATAGCAATCAAGTTGAGACATTAACTGACAATGATCAATGTTAGACCATGTGGGAGACACGTGACACACTGAAATATGGATTTTTTGGCCAACCCAATAAATTCAACTGTGCTAATACACACTAGACTCCTGGAACAGAAACCACATCAACCAATTTCAAAACAAACCAGAAATTAGAGATGCAGATAGAATAGATATTTAATTATTAATTAGGAAACACTCTTCCAGTTGGCAAACCTATGTAATAAACTAAATCATAATCAGGTGTCATTGGTGAGCATAAATTAGAGCTGGAGAAGTTGGTTAGATGATCCTTATTCACTTGTATTATTGAGTTATGAGAGCTTAATGCATCTATCCCCCTATAAACAGTGACATGGGTTGGGGATGCCTCAGCCCCTTCCTTCCATAGTCTGTGAAGTCACTACTATAGTCTTACACTGAATGGGGACCACCCTCACACATTTTTCAACTTCCAAGATTAAAAGTCACACTCTGGTAATGCCTTCCTGAGGTCCACTCAAACACAAGCTAGTGGGCAATTATTCTGTAGGCTGCAGCTCTCATTCTGAGTTTTCCTGGTATCTCTAAGCTCTGAGGAGTATTCTGGTACTACTGTCAAACATATCCGCCATCAACCCACTTAAGAAATGAAGCTGAATTTCCCACAAACCTTGTTAAAAAGAAATGCTCTGCCAGTGGCGCCTGTGAATCGAGTGGAGATGAGTTCTGAGCGGTTGGTCAGAATCGTATCGCAGTTTGCACAAGAAAACAGACGAGTACCACCAATATGATCAAGGAAAATTCTGCCCATTTTTATAGTTGAAGTTTTTTAAACACCTAGGAGCAAACATAAAAGGACAATAAATGCATTATGATAAAAAAAAATTGTTAGCCCTGGTTGGTATGACTGAGCACTGGTTTGTGAACCAAAAGGTTGCTAGTTCAACTACCAATCAGGGCACATGTGGGTTGTGGGCCAGGTCCCCCTCTCTCTAAAAATAATTAAATAAATTCTTTTAAAAATTTGTTAGTATCTACTTGGTGGGTCATTGAGAACCACTTATATATGCGCTCTCTGCTTTGCAGTATTGAATACATAAAATAGCTGACTCTGAACAAAAGAATCATTCACTGAACAAATGAATAGGCACAGGCAAGCTAAGACTATTTTATTTTAGAAGCAGTGAGCCAAGGAAGTAAACATGCTTAGGCAGGAAAAGGAATGGTATCACTTCTCTTTTGGTTGGTATGAAAAAAACAGGAAGAATGTGGAGTATCAGAAACTGAATAATGAAAAGCACAGACAGGTAGAGTGGTGAGAAAAAGGTTCAGCTTAAGTGTTAAATATACATTTTGAGTACGTGTAATTTGAGAAAAGAATTGTGGGACATGAGCTTGGTTAAGCATAGAAAAAGGGACAATCAGAAAACAAGTGGGTTTCTAGTCATCAGGTATATCTATGTATACAGAGGTAATGGCACTAACATTAGTAAGTTATAACCAAAGTTAAGGCCAAACTCATCACAGTTAGAGCTTTAAGATTCTTTTCAACTTTCAAGCAAAAAACAGTACTTTAATCATCTCAGCTTTTATAATTACTATTCCCAAATAATTTTATAAATAAGACCTCTTTGATACTAGCATTTCTTAGTTCCGGGCTATTAAAATCCTTAAAAGGTTGAAATAAGAAGTACCAAACTTTGGCTGTTTACCTGGGAGCCTATTATCAGTTTATTTGAAATTACTGAAATGGTGAGGCACCAGGCTGAAAACTTAAGTGAAATTCATAGATGATCTGCAGATCATATTTTAGTAATTATTTTCAACTTCCTTTACCTTCAACGAATAACACATTCAGCAACTAGAATTTTCCGTTTCTATTTTAATAGGACTCTGGTGAAGCAATCACATTTTAGGACCTCTACCTTTTTATTGTTTTTAAAAAATTCACAGTATTTTCCCTGCTCCCATACATGCGTAGCCTCCCTCATTATCAACATCCCCCAGCAGAGTGGTTCATTACAGTTAATGAACCTTTACTGAAAATCATCATCACCCAAAGTCCATACTTCACACCAGGGTTCACTCTCGGTGTATGTTCTATGGGTTTGAACAAATGTATAATGACATATACCCATCGTTATGGTATCACCGAGTATTTTCATTGGCTTAAAAATCCCTTGTGCTCTGCCTATTCACCCCTTCCCCTGGCAATCCCTGACTTTTTTTTTACTGTCTCTGTAGTTCTGCCTGGTTGGAATCACATTGACATCCAGTATATAGCTTATGATTGGCTTCTTTCACTCGATAACATGCGTTTAAGGTTCCTCCGGGCCATTTGATATACCAGCTTATTTACCCATTCGACTGCTGAAGGACACTGTGGCTGTGTCCAAGTTTTGACAATGATAAATAATGCTAAAACTATACTTAAATTATGAATAAAACATCCATGTGCAGGTTTTTCATGTGGCCATGTTTTCAGGTCCTTTGGGTAAATAACAAGGAGTGCAACTGCTGGACCATATGGTTAGAAACCATATATTTCGTTATAAACTACCGAACAGCCTTCTCGTAATCGATGAGAATTCCTATTGGTCCACCAGCATTTGGTACTGTCAGTGTTCTAGATTTTGACCATACTAATAGGTGTGTAACGGTATCTCATTGTTTTAATTCACATATCCACGATGACATATGAAGTGGAACATCTTTTCACAAGCTGTTTGCCTCATGTCTTTTTTGGTGAGATGTCTGTTAGGTCTTTGGTCCATTTTTTTTAAAGCCAGTTGTTTTCTTATTGTTGAATTTTAATTGTTGTTTATGTTTTGGATGACAGTTCTGTATCGGATACATCTTTTGCAAATATTTCCTCCCAGTCTGTGGCTTGTCTTCTCGTTCTCTCAACATCGTCTTTCACAGAGAAGTTTTAAATTTCAGTGAGGTCCAGCTTACCTATTATTTTTTTCCAGCATCATGCCATTGGTGTTGTCTTTAGTAGTTTTACATTTTATATTTAGTCCTGTGATCCATTTTAATTTTTTTTACATGTGGATGTACTGTTGTTCCACATCATTTAGTAAAAAAACTATCTTTGCTCCACTGTAACTGCCTTCTCTGTCAAAGATCCATTGACTACATATATGTGGGTCTATTTCTGGGCTCTCTATTCTGGTCCACTGATCTATTTGTCTGTTCTTTGGCCAATACCATACTATCTTGGTCACTGCCTCTTTATAGAACTCCTAGAAGTCAGGTAGTTTCACTCTTCTGACTTCATTCTTCTCCTTCAATACTGTGTTAGCTACTCTGAGTATTTTACCTTTTTATAGAAACTTTACAATCAGTTGGTTGATATTCACAAGAAGACTTGTTGGGATTTTGACTGGGAATGCCTTTAATCTATAGATGAAGTTAGGAAGAACTGACATCTTGACAACACTGAGTCTTCCTATCCATGAACATGAAATCTCTCTCCATTATACTTAGTTCTTCTTGATTTCATTCATTAGAGCTTTATATTTTTCCTTATAGATGCTGTACACATTTTGTTAAGACTTATACCAAAGTATTTTTTGATATTAACATAAATAGTATTTTTTGTTGCCAATTCCAGTTGTTCATTGCTAGTATTAATACACACATACATGAACAAATGTTATGCTGTCTTGTTCTGGCAAACTGCTAAATACTTTTCTTAGCAGGGGTCAGCAAACTAAGGCCTTTGGGCAAAATTCAGCTTACCACCTGTTTTTGTATTGCTCACAAGCTACGAATTTTATACTTTTAAATGTTGGGGGGAAAATTAAAAAAACTTTTTTCTGACACATAAAAATTACATGACTTTCAATTTCCATTATCCTAAATAAAGTTTTATTGGGACACAACCACATCCATTTATTAATTGGGTGCTCTCTCACTACAATAACCAAGTTTGAGTAGTTGCAACTGACACGTTATTGCTTGGAAAGATCACAATATTCAATATCCAGCCACTGACACAAAGCGTACCAACTCCCTACTTAAAAATCTGGAAGTGAAAAAGCCTTTCATTTAGAAAGCAGACAGTCTTTCTCAGAAAAAAAGTAAATTTGGTTGGTATTCAGGTTCAAGGATTAACTCAAGTACTTGAGAAAGTCACTTTAATCCTCCTCCCTTTTATGGTTTTTCCTAACTAAAATCTTTTAACTTTCTGTAATCAGTTCAGTATGCTTAAGACCAACTATAAAAACAGGTACTGTACACCCAGCTTCTGCCTTTTGTTTACCCAGGACTAAACAATATAGCTCAGATATTGGGTTGCCCAAAAAACCTATATGTTTTTTTCCTGTAAAACAGAAGACACATTTTTCATTTTCACCGATAACTTTATTGATTTAGATATTTTCAGTATGTCAGCTATCTTCTGCTATTGGCTTCTAGTGGGTAGAGACCAGGAATGTTGCTAAACATCTTCCAATGTGTAGAATTATTCGGCCAAAATGTCAGTATTACTAAGGAACTTTGCAAACCACTTTTATGTTTGATCAGTCACAGCACATTCTCTGTACACTGCACAAATCTTTTTTTGCATTTCAACCTGTCTTGAAATAATAAAGCATACTATGTGGAAAATGTTGCTTATTTTCTTCTACTTCCAATATTAAAATGACTGCACAAAAATTAACCAATTTTGATTAAATTTTTTAAAAAATGCATGTTGATATGATGGCTGTCACAATACAATCTAATAAAATTGTTTCTAACAAAGTTAAAAACAACTAAGCACTATGAGAGTCATCTTACGGAAAAAAACCAAATGAACTTTCTGGCCAACCCAATACTTGAACTCTGGAGTCATGGTACCCAAGTTCAAATCTCAGCTCTGTTCCTCAAAGGCTGTGTGAACTTTGCTAAGGTATTCTCTTCTTCTTTGTCTGTAAAATAAAAATAGCAGTATCCATCCTGAATTGTGAGAATTGGAGGTAATACACTCTTAGGACAGGGCCTGGCACAGTGAATACCACCTAAAGGTTAATCTAGTAAAATAGATTATCTTCTTCAACATTCCCGACCCCAAACAACTTCCCTCTCCTACTGCAGATGAAGAAAGCAAGACTCAGAAAGGGTATGAAACAACTAGCTTCACCTCCTGTTAGTTACTGCAAAGCTAAGTGACCGGGTGACAGAAATTACAAGGAGAAAAATTAGAAATGTTCTGAAGCATCTCAAATACTTAAGTGTCACAGTTCTAGGTCTTAAAATAGGTGCTTGCCCTCCCTGTAATTAAAAATCCAGCTGGGATTCAACCCTGGCAAGCAGAATACCCTGAAGAAGGCAGCACCTTTGCCAGCCCTAAAAATATCAGGGAGGAGAAGAGCAGGTATTGATCTGCATTTCTAAGGACCCTCAGATCAGAAAACACCTATTTCACAGATAAGACTTTCCCTTTGTTAATTAAAACTATTCCCTTAGAGAACCACAGAAAACACATACCACCAGAACTGAGAGGGCCTTTTCCATAGCACCAGATGGTGGTGGGCAAATGCAGGTTATAAGCCTCTCCTACAGGGAACCGAATGGGTAGGAGCCTAGTACAGAAAGGGTTAGGAATCTGCCATTCAGAAAAGGTTGTTTTGTAAGTGGTTCTGCTAAAATGGAAACATGCGGAAGCATGCTTGTGTTTCTGGTTTTCAGTCTCTTCTCTCTCCAAAACAAAGAAAGGAATAAAGCTGAAAGAACAGAGCTGTACTGATTACTATAATTAATATTTAACGTTATTGTAATCTCATTAACTATTTTCATACTGATCTGTGACTAAATTCTGCTGAAAACCTATAAAGCAAAATAAGTTGAATTTTATCCATAAAACCAATTTCCCAATTTTTGTAAAAATAATCACCAAGCCAAGTTTCAGTTACACGACGAAGCTGTGTTTTCTTTTTGTTCTTTTGCAATACCTGACCAGTTTCCTTTGCGGTGCCAAATGATGTTCTGGTTATGGCATCAGGTCTTCATTTGACAGTAACTTTTATATTTTTGTTCTTGACCCTAAAATAATGCCTTTATTTTTGTTAAATATTTTTAAGTTTACTGTATTTCTGTAACACTTTTTATTTAGTCATCACTAGAAAATAGGACTAGTCATGCAACTCAGTGAGTCACCTAAAGGATCCAGTTGGTAATCTCCCCAGTTTTTTGGCAAGCCAAATTCAAGATCTCTTCTCTGTTCAGATGTAATACCATGAGTCAAAACAGCTTCAAACTGAATAGACTGGAGTGTAACTTAACTATATGGTTTCCTGATTCAGGTGTCAAGTAGCAAGTTCATATCATAGCTAAGGTCAGTTCCTACATTATCCATACATTATTATACAGGGTTACCAGAGAAATTGCTATCAATTTGGACAGCTGCTTAGGTACTTTAAAAGTTACAATGATATTATGGGCACAAATAAACTTAGGACTATCTTCACAACTCATGATTATAATTAGGCCTAGTTTCATGTCTCATGGACTGGCTTTTTGGAGGTGGGTAGCTAGTTAAAGCTCTTCTTTTAGATCTAATCTTGGTCTTCCTTATTTCCATAAAAGTTTTTCCTCCTTTTTATCACTTAAGCAGAGCAAAAGAAAAGGCAATAAGTCTAGGGATAAGTTCTCAAGGATCCAACCAGATATTATTTTAGAAAAATCCACATGGATTTTACTAATCTTTTTAGAAAAGTTGTTAAAATATAATTTACTTAGTTCCCCTGTATAGAATTAAATAATTTACTTCAGCACAAGTCATCATCTCCCTCTCCTATAGATAAGATGATTCCTAGAGATAATCATCAAAAAATAAAATAAAATAAAATAAAATAAAATAAAATAAAATAATCACCAGTAGGCCTGTATTGGGTACTGAGCTGGGTGAGGACATCCTCTAAAAAGGTAAACATCAGTCCTTTCCAAGGAGCTACAGCCTACCTGGTGTTCCAGTACCTACCCATAAAGATAACAGGATATGTGGAAAACATTCTATGTGCCAAACTGTACAAGCTTCACCTTCTTACTATTCGTACATGCTCCAGGCCTGTTTTTTTGTTCCTAGGCCACCGCCTAATAGCAACCCAAAGCCTCTTCATCTTCTAGGTCTAATCAATATCAATCCCCTTCAGAATGCTTCCAGTTTCACCTCACTTCAGCTCTCTTTCCCACTTAGAACTCTTATAATATTCATTACATAAGTTATTACTATTTAATGACAAATTGTTACTGAGTTTCCTTTTCTATGACTTTTTACTAAACAGTAAGTTTTGAGAGAAACGATTCTAAATTCTCTACAATTTTCTTCTTACCTAATACAGTACACGTACGCAATAAATAGGAAAAGAATACATCAAGATACTCCACATCTGGCACAAATATGTACCCTGGAAACACTTGACGAATTCTGGTTCCTCTGTGTTGGAAAGCATATGTACCCTGCAACACTGAATATGTGGCTGTGCAAAATTAGCCAATATCCTTTTACCCACCCTCCCCTCCCCTCCGTTACTTCACCAGCAAGTCTAATTTTCCAAAAACACAAGGTTAGCCTGAGGTTACTTCAGGTTTTCCATCTGTCAAGGAGACCTGGAATAAAAATCCTCAGATTACCAACAGGGTTCTGTAAACAGAAAAAGTTTAAAAATAAATGAGCTGTACACTTTCCAGACTCCCTTCAAGGGAGGATTAATAGATGGTGTCAGGATTAAACATTATCTTTGTAGTAGTTCAGTTTTCCAACTCCTGCTGTTCATAGTACTCATGGTCCTACCTACCTACAGAGTGCTGTAGAATAAAGGGGTTGCAAGAGCGCGCCTTCCCTTCCACCAGCGAGGAAGAAGCACGCAAGGCTGCCGCGAGACCCCCAACAACGAAACCATTCGGCCAGAAGCCGCCCAGGCCGGGCTGGCGCGCGGCGCGCACCCCGCAGCCCCAGCTGGCCCCAGCTGATTGCAGGCACGTGACACTGCAGGCCAATAGGGAGGGGCAGGGGCGCGGCGCAGTGGGGCCGCCTGGGGCACAACAAATACCGGCCGAAACAGCTGGGCGGGCGGCTGCCGGGGGTCCTGGGCAGCCTACCGCGCCCCCACGGCTCGAGATGCTCCGCAGCTCCGCAGCTGCCCAGCAACCACACCACGCCCTCTGCCAGGCCAGCGGGGGTTCCCTCCCCCAGTTTAAGGTTCAGGTGGGGAGGAGGGCTGGGTGGCAAACGTTTATCCGACGGGGAAGAAAACAAAAGCAAACACCGCCCTCCGTCGCGGCAAACGTCCGTCTGCCGCGGATGTAGTCCTTTTTATGGACGGGCCGCACTGAGCCATAATCGGGGCCCCACAACTAGGAGTCGAATTCGCACTTCGCTTCGGGGACCGGGGCTCGGCGAGGCGGTCAAGGCGCCAGGCCTCCCGCCGACCACAGCGGGCGCTGAGCCTGGGGCGCGTCCCCGACACTGCGGCGGGGACGCGGCCCGTGGGGGCGGGGCAGCCAAGGGGGGAGGGGGGGTCGTGGGCCAAACTGCCAGCGGTGGAGGCGCGGAAGGCCTTGGCGGCGACCTGCAGGGACTCTGCGGCGGTGCCCGGAGGGTTGGGGGTACTGGCCAAAATCGAAGGCAGCGACGCGAGGGCGCGGACGCCGAGCTAAGGGGTCGCGGCCCTGGCGGGTCGCTCCGGTCGTCCCGGCTGCTCCGCGGGGGCGGGCCGACACGGCTGCTGCGCTCCGGCCTCACAAAGAGGAAACAGCCGAGCTCGTCCGCAGGCAGCCCCCGTCACTGGGGCCCGCCCAAAGGGGCCGGGGGCAGCTGCTCTGGGACCCCGGGGAGAACGCGACGAGGAAGAAGCACTTCCTGCCTGGGCCCCCGCCTCGGACCGATTCCCGAGTACTTCGAAGCCGCCGACCTAGGGGACTCCCTAGTGATCTCCGAGCCCAGCCCCCGCCAGTCTTACCGCAAGTGGCTTTGAGATTCGCAGGCGAGATTCGCAGCTGCCTGCAGCCTTTCCCTCCGCAGCAGGAATGAAGCCCCTCGGCCACCCTAGTCGCTAGGTTTAGTCAGGCCCCGGCCTTGGCCCCGCCTCTCCCTAGTTGGGCCTCAACGTCAATCACCCGGCGTGGCTCCGCCCCTCAAGCAGTCGGTTTTCCCGGTTGGCTCAGAACATCCTTCATTCCTATGCCCCGCCCCCACTCCAGCACCTCGCCCCTTCCACTGGGCCCCGCCCCTCTTCTGGTTCACCTTGCTTTTCCCTACTCGAGCTCTTCTTAGTATCACTGTCCACCCCTCCCAGAAGCGGTAGACCCCAGGCGAGCTCTAAACACTCCGCCCCTCCCGTGACCCAACACCTCGTACAGCCAATCAAAGAGGAGGACTCTGCCCCCCCTCTCCAGAGGTGTCCAATGTGAAGAGCTGTAGGATCCACCCCCTTCCCAGCTGAGAGCACACAACACAGCGTCCACGTGAGCCAGCTTCTTAAAGGAGACAGCTCAGCACAATTGCTGCAGCTGTGTGACCTCGCTCGTCATCAGCGTCACCAGGTGGTGGTCAAGGCCTAGCTTCCTGAAGTCCTAGCTTTCGGAGGTTCAGTGATGACTAATGGCTTGTTAGTGATGGCTTGTTGAAAACAACAAGCTGTTTTGTAGGCAAAGTAAATACCTAGGTAGTTAACACGCACCATGTAATTTCTTTGGGGTTGTTTACTCTTACCACTCCTTAAAGAGGGCCACCTTTTATTTACAAACCCCAAACTCTTTGAGTTTGAGCATATAGAAGGAACTCCTCACTAATATCTGTGGAAAGAATGATTTTTTCAAGCGTGCCCAGCTGTATTTACAACTCCCTGAGTTTTGGTAGTGGGAGTGATTATTAAAAAAAAAAAAACACGAGAAAATTCAGTTTTCTGTATGGAGATTTCCTGAAATTTGTTTATTGGAAGGGGTAGCTGTTCCTTTGACCCTAATCAATGCTCAAGATGGAAGGTTTTCCATCTCCATTCTGTTAGAATTTCCCAGGTAGTTACATTAATGATCTTTGGCTGACTTTCAGGATAAAGCATAAATATTTGATAATGCATATTTCCAAGTAACATTTGAGATTAATCTGCAAGGTGTTCAAAGCAATCAGTAGTGGGATGGAGGTTTTGAAGCAATTACTTGCGTTTGACTCCTTATCAACCCCAAATTCACCAGCATTTTCACCTGAACATCAAAGGCAAAAGAACTAATTATCTTTGGGTGAGTTTTCCAAGAGATAAGAAAGTTTGAAACTTTTTGAAATTTTTTTCTCCTTATTACTCTTTTCATTAGTTTTAACTACAAAAGTAACGCATGTTCACTGTAGGAAGTTCATTCATCGTCATTCTGAATGGAGATCTCTGTCCTCTGCTTACAGCTTCACATTTATCCTTCTGTTCTTCCTAAACGAAACGTGTGTGAAAGCGCACTGTGCCTCTTATTCTTCAACTTGCTTTTTTTCATCCAATATGTTATGGCCATCCTTCCACATCAAATTTATATTTTATCTACAAGTTTGCCTTTTTCTCTATATTTTTTCATTGCATCTTTAATTAAGCATTATTTTTTCTACTGAGAGACATGCAAATGCCCCAAATTTTTAAAAGGCAAATGACTGGAAATTAAAAAACAAACAAACTGCTGTAACAGACACACATCTTCATCAAGAAAATATTTTTCCAGTATTTCTATATATGATTTTTTTAAAAGGGTGTACAATGCTTAAACCCACAGAAATTAGTTTTTCTCAAAGTGAGTACTTTAAGTACTATGTAAAACAATGGGGAAATATTTAACAGTGCATATAAAGTGTGCACTGTTCTAAGTACTTTAAAATTATTAACTCAATTGTATAACAAATGTATACGGTAGGCACTCTTACCCCCATTTTACAGATGAGCAAACTGAGGCACAGTGATTAACTTGTCCAAGGTCACACAGGGTGATTAAATACAATATTTGTGAACTTGGAGGAGAATGATGACAATCATATTTTAGAAAAATTAATCAAGATGTTGGTGATGTGCAGATAGGAGGTAAGGAGGCCAGAAAGGAATAGAATTGAAGAGCCAGGTTTAACTGACAAGAATGGCAGCACAGGAATGACTGTTTATGGGTAGACAAAGAAGAGTGAATTTTCTAAGATAAATCAGAGCCTGTCTAAATGACTGGTAGGGTGATGATTTCTCATCGAGATCCTTGGAGTGATCCCTAAAACAATCTGACTGGTAATTCTTACAAAAAGGACACATGAAGGGACACCAGGAATGTGTGTGCACTTAAAAAAGACCATGTGAAGACACAGAGAGGAGACACTTGCAAGCCAAGCAGTGAGGCCTCAATAGAAACCAGACCTGCTGACATCTTGATACTGGACTTCCAGTCCCTAGAACTGTCAAAAATAAGTTTGTTGTTTAAGCCACCCCATCTGTGGTATCGATTTGTTGTGTCAGCCCCAGCAAACTAATTCAAGGGATTGCTGTAAGTGGGAATGTCTCCTATTATATATCATATTGCTAGTTGGTTGTTATTTTTTAATTATTTTATTGTGTTTTTTATTGTATTTTTTCCATTATCACTGAGTCCTCTTATACCCACCCCCCCCCAGTTATTTGATATTTTGTAGGAAAGATAATTTTGTAACTCACTTACCGGATATAAAATTCTTCTGTCTGAAAAATGGTCATGAAGTTTGCTGACTTCTTTCCAGTCATTTGCCTTTTATTTCCATTTCAGTATTCTGGGATGTACAATATATCTTTGACTATTTCTGTCAAAAAAAATTCCCAGACTTTACTGTTAGTTGGTAAAGTTCTTTTTCCTTTATAAAGAATAGGTATTCTATTTTATCAAATATCTTGTTAGTGTCTATTGAGATAATCATGGTTTCCCCCTTGTTCTATTTGTTTATATGATGTATTATGGTAATCAGTCTCCAACATTAAAACCCACTTTGCATCTTGGGGATAAAAGCCCCTTCATCAATTGACCTGCACTAATTCTGACATTCTTTGAGTGCATAAAATCAGAAATGTAGGAGAGTTGTCAGTGGGGAGGGGGAAGGGAGGAATGGGGGGGAAAGGTACAGGGAAGACGAGGCTTAATTGGTAGGCATAAAATAGAAGGAGAGAGGTCAAAATGCTATAGGAAATAGAGAACTCAAAGAACTTACACGTACAACCCATGGACATGAACGAAGGGGGTGCGAATGCTGGAGGGTTGGGGGTGCAGGGGATAAAGGGGGAAAATTGGGAAAACTGTAATAGCATAATCAATAAAAAGTACTTAAAAAAATCAGAAATGTAGTAAACCAGCACACAGTTTTGCAAGATGGAAAAGTTCTGGAAACTGGTTTGCATAACAATAAATATATTTAATATTGAATTGTACCCTTAAAAATGATTAAGGTGGCAAATGTTTGGTTTTGTGTATTTTACCACAATCAAAAATAAACTAAGTTTTCTAAAAAAAAAAAAAAAAAAAGGAGGTAGAAGCATCAAAGTTAGAAGATGTGGTGGAAGCAGAGACGGGAGTGCTGTGGGCAGCAAGCCAGGAGCGCAGGCCACCTATGGAAGCTGGAAAAGACGAGGAAACAGAATCTTCCCAGAGCCTCCAAAAGGAATGCAGTCCTGCCAACACCTTGATTTTAGCCCCATAACACCCATTTTGGACCCCTGACCTCCAGAACTGCAAGATAACAAATTTATATTGTTTTCAGCTGCTAAGTCTGTGACAGTTTACAGTTACAGTAGAAACAGAAAATTACATATAACCTATTTTTCCTAAAGTAATATTTTATATTGGATTTTTAGAGAAAGGGGAAGGGAGAGAGACAGAGAGGGCAAGAAACATCAGTGATTTGTGAGAGATACATAGATCAGTTGCACCCCCCAAAGCCCCCATCTGGGGACCTGGCCCACAACCCAGGCATATGCCCTGACCAGGAATCAAAATGGCAACATTTCAGTTTGCAGTTGGCTCTCAATCCACTGAGCCACACCAGCCAGGGCTGTTTATAATTAGTTTTAACTGTGTTACCGCACAAAACAATATTCTTTCTAATGTATATACACGTCTGACTCAGCAAATGTGAAAGTGGTCAGGGCACAGAACTTCTGTCCACAAGCCCCAACTTTTACTTGCGTCACAGACACCAACCAAGAAGACCTTGCAATATCCTCCCCTAAACTTATTTTAAAACCAACAACAAAAGCTCTAGCAAAATTTCCACAAATTTTCCCAACAATAAAGACTTTCGAATCTCAGAATCTGAGTCCTGAGGTAAGGATAGATAAATGTCCTGCATCAGGTGGGGCGAGTTGGGGAGCAAAATGAATGGTGGAAGGGGAAAATAGCTTTAGAGTTGTCTAGTCTGAGGTCAATTCCAGAACTGCTACTTCCTAGCCATCTGACTGTGATTGAGAGCTTCAATTTAATTACTAAAAATAGTGATAAATCTTGGGGTTCTTGTGAGCATTAAATAATATAACTGATGTCACCTGTTTACCCAGTGACCCTGGCACCTATTAAGTGCTCAATAAAAGTTACTGCTGTGTTAGTTCTTATTATTTCTATGGCTCTTGATTATGAAGCTGAGTCCAAAGTGAGCAGATTTCATTGTTTCTCCTATACTGTCCACATTACAGAATATTAATGCCACTTCACAGGCTGTCGGACAAATACCCGATGGCTCCCTTGTGTGATTCAACCCTGAATAGATAGGGTACTTGAAATGCTGCCAATACGCTGGCATGATTTATATCATAAGGGTGAAAAAGGAGCCATTAAACGTCTTTCAAAGCCTATCTGTGCACAGAAAGTCAATAGCAATGGTCTCTGGGCTCCATGCTAGATTCCTATCCATGAAATAACACACTCCCACCATTACTGTGATAATCTTTGGGGAGGACACACTTTGAACATAAAAATCAACATTTAAAACACCATCAGGCAGGTCTAAAGGAACTGCCGTATCATGATATCCAGAATACATAAGTAGAAAATGCAAGCTGTAGGATTCTATGCATAGTCATCTGATTTCTATAAAATAGTAAGATCATTGTATGTATTGACAAAAATCTGAAATATTCATACTTTTACACTGTCCTAGTTTTCACAAACATATTTTACACTGCATACATTTAACTTTGGCAATAAGAAAACTGATAAAGATCAGTTTT